TTGATAATGGAATTAATTCCCTAACTTGTATTTTGTCTTGTATATATGTGTTTAGGGGCATAAATGGTTATGGATATGACTATGTATATGAAAATTTATTTCCATTCAGGTCCTCACAGCTCATTGGACATTATCTTATTATTGATTGGCTTCCGCCAGCCACTTTATATTGTATTATTGTCATTATTGTTAAGCAGGCCTTTGGTAAACACAGATTACTGGTCGGTTACGGCGCTAAATCTATTGGGACGGGTTTGGGTCATGACAAAAAGGATGTTCACATAACCCTTTGAGCATTTTGAGTATCTAACAAACACTTGCTTATTTGCTCTAGGGCCTAATTTTCCATGCTTATGAGAAATACTATAAACAAAAACTGCACAACTCCAAGGCCACAAATGCTCCAAATCAAGTTTTGCGCCTTTCCATAATTCATATGGAGTTGTTAGAATTGACTTTGAAGGTACATGGTTAAGATATAGGCAGCAATCATAAGAGTATCCCCCCAAAAAGATATAGGGAGGTTGACTTGTACCATCATCAATCTAACCATTTCAAGCAAAGTGCGATTCCATCTCTCCTCTATACCATTTTGTTGCAAAGTGCCTTGAATCTTTAATTGCCTGTGTATTCTCTTTTACTCACACATTCTTTAGAACTGATGTGGTAAATATTCACGCCCTCAATCCATTCGAAGGATGCTCCATTTCTTGTCTGTCTGATTCTCAACTAGTACCATAAAGCACTTGAAGCAATCCAATGCCTCAAAGTGATGTGAGATCAAATAGACATAATTGAATCGCGAATAGTCATCAATAAATATAAGGAAATAAGAAGCGCCATGGCATGCCTTTACATTCATAGGTCCGCAAATGTCAGAGTGAACTAACTCTAGAGGATATAAAGCCCTAGATGTCTTTCCAAATGGCTTCCTATAGGCCTTTCTTCCCAAATAAGGCTCACACATGGGAAGACTTACATTAGCAAGATGCCTCAACAGGCCTTCTTTAGCTAGTCTAGTCATTCTATTTTTTCCTATGTGACCAAGTCTAGCATGCCAATTAACAGAATTTTAATGTATCATTATCACAAGACACATAAGAATATGAGGAAAAATCCAAATCTAGCATAAATGAACCATTGAAAAAAAAACATTGTCCATGCAAGCCCTTATTTAAATAGAAATCCAACTGACTATCAGTAAAACCAAATCCTAGCAAAGTAATAACTGATAAAAATTACATTAGACACCAAGTGTATAAAGCACATCATGGATGAGTAAAGTGCACCCTGGACGTTTCAAGCAAAGTGCGATTCCTCTCGAGTTCCATTACCCAAAGTAACGAACTGCTTGCCTACAAGTGTCTTTCTATAATCCACGAACTTAACTATTTCTTTAACTATGTAGTGGATTGCTTTTAAGTTCTACAATCCAACCATGGAGAGAATTAGCAACACATACATGTGAATAAACACAAGTATTTAAAGAGTTAAGTGAAAGGTCTACCTTATTTGCATCAAGGCATTCCCGAGCAAAGTGACCTTGCTTTCCACAGTTATAGCACTTGACTTTGGTCTTGTTTTTATTTCCAGTGCACTTGCCTCGACGGCGCTTCTCCACATTACCTCTCTTAGGACTAAGGTTACCAGTTGTACCATCACGTTTTCCTTGTCTGTTGCGCTTAGGCCTGAATGCCTAACGATGTCCTGCTTGAGCGACAAGGAAAATACTGCGGTGCGACCCCAGGTGCTCTGCTTCAAGCCCAAATTGCTCAAATTTCAAAATAAGAGCATGTAGCTCGGTTGTAGGTGTGGTCCTATAAGTAATATTCAGTTGATTCCACATGTCATGAGCAATGGGGTTTGTCTTAAACTACCCTGAGAGATCGTTGTGCATGCTACTAAGCATAGTATAGTGCTCGCATCGATCTCCCTTGACCTAATTCTGATGGGTCTCCACGTCAAGACAATGTTGGGTAGTGGTCCTTTCTTCAGATCGAATCTTAAGGGCAGTCAATTTTTCTATGACTTCTTGTTCATTAAGCAAATATTGAATTTCATCTTTGGTGAGGTCAGTGACAATATTCTTAGAGGCCATTTCACTACATTGATTGCATAGGGTTTGACATTAGCACATTTTTAAAAAATTTATTCCCAAAAATACAATTGGTATACAATATTTCTACTTACATGGAGAGATCGAAAAATTTCGCTAAGTTCATAATCATCTCCCTCTATGTGAGCTGAAGTATGGCACCCAATTAATTTTGAATGAAATTATGTAAGAGGCAAAACCATCTCTTATTTCCACAATATCAAATCATGCATAATATATATGAGTCCAAAAATGCGCCATACAATTTTGCATGTGGGCTCCACTTGAAACCCTGTTAGTAATATGGTGCAACATGTTAAGGCAACCTGAAATGTATTGGTAACAGTGAAACACATCCCCTTACATAGCTATGGAAAAATACATCCAAAAAAATAAATAATTACAACCCAAAAGAATCCTAGTACATTGATTCTTATAAATAAAAAATAAATAACACGGGGATGCCATTTCACCAATACATTTGTGGGGTTTACCTCTAACAATACAAAATAAATAAATAAACATGTGCACAAAAAATTACCAATATTACCTCCATCCATCCAAACATACATCAACAATAAATAAATGGCCAAAGGATGGAGGTCAAACTACAATTCCTACTACAGAAAATAGTATATTCATGAAGATCTAGGACTCAAAAACATATATTAGTTCTCAACTAACTTATATTAAACAATTAATAAAATAATTCCACAATTTAATAGCACAAAAATAAATGTTAAAACAACCAAAAGGAATTAACAAATTATGCATGATAATTAATTAGATAGAAAAATAGTTTTCTAGAATTTTTCTTAATTTTTCCGCAATTTTCATAATTATATTTTTAATTTTCAGTAATTTTTAGAATTAAAATATATATAAACATGTGAGAATATTCAAAATAAATTAATTCTGAAAAATAGTTGCCAAACCAATTATACAAAAAAATAGAATAAGCCGCGATGATCACCCACGTGCCACGTTTGCATCACACGTGCCTTGATAATCGCGTCCAAGCGCCCAAAGGTTGTTGGTCTGCGTGTGTAAGGCACAGGCACAGGCACAGGCACAGGCACGTCCACGCACCACGCACTACACGTGTCACACTACAACGCGAGCGCATTGTGCATTGATAACGTCAGTCGCACGCAATGCACTAACATCATCCACGCTTACCAAGCTGCGCTTCTGCGCCGTTAAGCCACGCCCTGCCGCTGCTTTCTACTGACGTCATGCTGGCGTCACTCCGACTTCTCAAAATCTCATGGTTTCCCAGAATTTCTCAAAAATAGTGATTTTGACCCAAAAATCTTTGAAAAACCATAACTTTTTCAATCTAACTTCAATTAAGGCCCATTTTATATGGATGAAAAGCTTACGAAGAGTAATTTCATAATATAAAATTTCAGTTACTAAAAACGAATTATTTTATTCTGATTTTCGAGTTAAAAAATCTGCTGTATTGGAATTTTTAAAAATTAAGATTTTCCAAAAACCTTTTTAACATTTCATAATATTCAACAATATTAAAACATATAGTTTGGAATTAAACATGGATTAATCTATGGCATGCAAATCATGAGGCGAAAACAAGCAATTACGGCTCTAATACCATGAATGAAAAATATGAGGGAAATTATATTATCTGAAACAAAAACAGTTTGGATCGGATGCTTGAATTACAAGCCTCGTCTAGAAGACCCTTCGTAGTCAGTTGAGAAGCTACCAAAGTTTTTCAATATATTATCCACACTCCAAATCTTTAGGCTCTACAATGGTGACCTAAGAGAGAAGAACACAGATATAAATTCTGCAGAGATTTTTCAGATAAACTCCCACAACAATAATAATATGTGTCATTGTTTTTCTCTATATCAAATATATAGAGATTCTCTTCTGACAACAACTCAAACACCTCATTAGATAATTCCTTAATTATCTTATTTATTAAATAGTGTGAATTATTTATAACCATATGGATGCTCAGGTCAAATCCAACCCAATTTCCAACACCTTTGATATACTTAACATCAAACTTCCATTAAGAGAACGCTTCTACCAATCGCAACTATTGAGTGGTGGTTTAGCATTAACTTTTTTCATTATTTTTTAAATTTTTTTATAAGCTAAAAAAAAATTTGTGTTTGGCTTTTTTTGGGTTGATTTTGACTTTTTAGAATCTATAATTGAGAAGTTAAAAATTGAGCCATTTTTTAGCTTTTTTTTAACTTTTGACATACAATTTTTTGACCTTTTGGCTTAATAAGCCAAAATGTTAATCTATATAGTACACCCCAACAACCTCAGTTTGGAAAAACATCTTTTGTTTGAACTAGAGCATTCCGAGCAAACTTCTTACCTACAACAATTTCTTTTTAGGTAGAACGATAAAAGTTTTTTTTTTTTACCCCCTCATATTGGGCTTCTTTAGGGGGAATAAACCCAATAATAATCACTAACAATACCAAGCTGGTGTTGTAGAAAAATCCATTGGTTCAAATGCATCATAATTTGCATGTTATGTTATGTTATGCTATATTATGTCATCGCCCAGTGCAAGTTCTTGATGTGTCCATTACTCGAATCCCAAAATGATTTTAGGTTGTATTTGGACGACTTATACCAATTTGAATTAATACATTTGTTTTTCATTCTTTAAAGCCTTAAAGGTTCTCCTACGCTCGGAGATTTGGATTCGAACAAGCTTCATAGATGGATTTGAAGGCCTTACATCAGTGTGAATCCCAAAGTTTATTTGATTTTCCAGTCTTCAAGGAGTAAACTAATATGATGTATTGCCTTCATCTTCACCATCAACAACTATCTCAAATATAACATCAATAGTCAATGGGACCAATCCTCCTATGTATTTGAAATTAAACCCAGACTCACTCATTTCAAATCCATTATCAGTATGCAAATTCAATATGATCTTTGGTTGAAAACATAATACTTCTAGCATGTCCCATTATAGTTTTTAGGACTTCACAAAATCAGCACTTCAATAGTTGCAACAATCTGAATTTGTGCCTAATTTCTCACATAAGCGATTCTGAGGAACTACAAAATTTGTTATAAAGACTGATGTGTGTAAGCACAGCATATATTATACAAATGTTCAGAGCTACAGATTAGTTAAGAAAGGCATCTCTCATCAAAAAGACAAACAGAACGAATGAAAGGAAGGCATCACATTTGTACATCCGCAACAAAAACATGGGATGATGATGACAAGCAGATTTCAGAATGAGAATTCCTCAGGTAGTTGTTGAAATTTTGTGGATAAGAAGCTCTTGTACTTTTTGTGGAGATGTCCACCTGCAAAGAAGTTTAGAGAGTAAGTAATCTTCATAGCTGCCTCAAAAGGGGCAGGGGATGCAAAACATTCATGAAACCAACCTTTGTGTTCAAATGGTGGAATATTCTTGAATAATAAGGTTGATTGCACAAACTTAACGAGATCCTTGCCTAGAAAATCATGAAGCAAGATTCAAAAGAGTTTGTTAACTTCTTTGAAGCAGATTGAAAAGATAAAGCAAAATACCACTAGGTTTCAGCTCCTATTAACGAGTACTTATGGAGCATTGCTGTTAATGAAGAGAAGTATCAAAGCATTGAAATGTTATTTAGAGTATCTGGGGTGTGTGCGCACACGTGCCAGTGTGTGATGCAGTGCCTGATTTGAGTAACAGAAAATATATATATAGAGAGAGAGAGAGAGTGAGAGAGGTATGTATAACCAAAGTTTGTCCAATCAATAAAACTGTTCCACAACAATACATCGAGTCTATGTGTGTGTGTGTGTGCGCGCGCGTGAATCCAAAAAAAAAGCGAATAAACACACAAAAGCATTATCTTTTGCAATCTGAATTATAGCCTGAAAACAAGAAAATATAGGCCCAATATGATCAATGGCTGCCTCTGTCTACACTGACAATGTGCATAGCTCCTCTCCATGATCTCTGTCAATCTATTTCTCCTTTTCCGTCCCAAATTTGATCAATCAAAAGCCCAAGTGAGTATTTCTTATTAATGCAACAAAAATAGGAAGACTTTTGGATTTTTCAAAGCACTGTGCTAGGTTTATCAGCTAATTCCAAGTCTCCCAACTACCAATTCTCATATTCTACTCATAACAGGGCAGAAAATTGAGTGCATCCCTAAATTCCTTCATTTGTTATTTTTATTTTTATTTTTTTGGTGAAATTGTTTCCTAAAAAAATATAAAAATTCAACCATAACAAAGCTCACAAAGTGGGTCACACACAAAAAAGCTCAAGCCTAAAGAGACAATTCTTGTGGTGCAGACAAAAGGGCAGTGACATCATATATCTTCAGCATTCAACAATTTTATTTTACAACTAACAGGTTTTGCTAATAAGTCCATCACTGAGTGAAATTTGATTGTCTTTTAATAATAGGTATTGCTTTGTTCCCCTTACCACTTATCTGCTTTTCTCCTTCGCTGATATTAATTAGAAAGGATGGAATTTGGTCGTCTTTTATCTGCAAAATGTAAAGCAAATCTCATCATTAAGTTACAAAAAGTCAATAATAATTGATTTCACTCCAAAAAAAATCTGGTCACCATGTAGGTTTCTTATTTACCTTGGACAGAAAAACCTTTGCTAGCTCCAACGGGTCAACGGCTGAAGGACACAAGCTGTATGCAGGCATGAATTTCCCATTCTGATAGCCTGCCAGGAAATGATAAGCTGCTTGTCCAGGAGAGAGCTTTGATGCAGAAGGAATAGTTCCAGAACTGATTGAACAAAAAGGAATGCTATTTCTTTTAACACAGGCTAACTTTATAAAGGAATGATAGCATGAAATGAAGCAACTAAATAACAGTTTGTAAAAACAAAATATTAATGAAAAAAAAAAAAATGCTGCAAGATAGCCACAGCATAAGGTAAACCAAAAACATCATTTTAAGGAAAAAAATGCTGGCAAGACAAAGTCAAACAGTTAGCTCAGGCAGGTGTACTCTTTGAGTGCCAGAAAACAATTTCAAAATAAGAATCAAGACAGGTCCATACCTTGTCCCATCACATTCAAATCATCTTCTAAACTTCGGCGTCTGAAGATTTGTCCACTTACATATTAGGAAGAAAAAAGAAAAAGAATCTCCTAGGTGTAAATAAAAAATGAAACTAAGTGTTGTCTCATTGGAAATTTGATTGTTGACTCTTAAGCGCTCTACTTCATATTAGATGCTTGGAAAAATGTAGAAAGAAAAATAAACTAAAATTCCATACTGGAAAGTAAAGCAGGTATTTGGATGTGGAAAGATTTCAACTTTTTCCAAACTGGAAAGACATGAAGACTCAGAATTGATTAAACCTTACCAAATTCAAACTATAGCAGCAACACACACCTTTGCACTCAAACCAGTCAACGGCAAGCCTTCAAAGGTTACAGAAGTAACATTCAAATTTTCGTAGACAATATTGGAAACAACGTTACAAGTTCAAACCCGATTGCCAAACTGACAAGGTGATAGGTCCAAACTTTTAACTAAACATAGAGTTTTTTTTTTTTAACAGCAAAAATTTGTGAGTTTGAATTGCATTTTTTATGTCGTATACAAAAAAAAAAAAAGCAATATCTACTTAACAATTCACATTTTACCTACCCCAAAAAAAAAAACAATTCACATTTTTTTTTTACAAAAAAAAATAATTGAAATAAACTAATTCCCTTACACTGGAATTAGCATTAACCATCCTTCTAGTTTATATTAGTGGACATATATCAGGTGTCACCATATGCCACTACACATATCAGCATTGAGATCCGTAATGCATATTAACACCTATTGGATCAGTCCTTCAAAGATGAGTTAATCTAGCCTGTTTATTAGACTGCATGACACCAAGATAGTGACTGGTTTCAGTTGAACCACCAGCTTTTCAGGTCATATAGAACCTGTCTTGTATATCAATATTGATGTTTAGAATGATGACTATTAATCAAATACAATGATTAAAACTTAATTGGCCAAAACAGTATCGTTCAAAGAACAACTTGACCATTTAAAATTAAGATAATTTACACATTGCATTACCAAACCAAACCTTAAGTCCCATCAAATGGGGTCGGCTACATGAATCATTCTTCTCCACTTGACTCTATCAACGGCCATTTGGTTAGTCAAATTAAGGAGATTTATATCTCTATTTATTACACTCGCCCACGTCAATCTAGGTTTGCCCATTCCCCTAACATTTACATCTACTGCTACTGTATCACATCTCTTCACTACTGTCTCTGTTGGTCTCCGTTGTATATGACCAAACCATCTCTATCCATTCTTTCTCAACTTATCTTCTATCGGTGCTACTCCTACCTATTCATGAATATACTCATTCATAATTTTGTCTTTTCTAGTCTTACCACACATCCTACTTAGCATCCTCATCTCAACAACACTCATCTTGTTTAAATGTTATTTCTTAGTTGCCCAACATTCTGTCCCATACAATATTGCTGATCTAATAGTTGTTCTATAGAACTTTCCTTTTAGTCTAATGGATACTCGTTTATCACATAGTACCCCAGATGCATTTCTCCACTTAAGTCACCCTGTCTTAATTTTATGAACCACATCCGCTCCAATCTCCCCAACCGTTGTGATAATCGATCCTAAATAATGAAAATGTTCACTTTTAGGTAGTTCTTGATTCTCAAATTTCACTTCTCCTCTACTTCCATTATTACTTACTGTTACTAAAATTACACTCTATGTACTCTGTCTTAGTTACATTTATCCTAAATCCTTTAAATTCAAGTGCTTCTCTCCAAGTCTCCAACTTGGTATTAACTCATTCTCTAATCTCATCCACTAACATGATATCATCTGCAAAAAGCATACACCATGGCACATCATCCTGAATATTTCTCGTCAACTCATCCATAACTAAAACAAAAAGATAAAGACTTAAGGTTAATCCTTAGTGTAATCCCACAATAATTAAAAATTCATTTATCTCTCCAGCAGGCGATCTAATAATGGTCACCACACCTTCAAATATGTCTCTAATCACACCAATGTACCCTTTTGTTATCCATTTCTTCCCTAACACCCACCAGATTATATGCTTTCTCAAGATCAATAAAAACCATATGAAAAATAGGGCCACATTAAAATAGTCCTCTTACCTATCGGAAGATACAAATATAACAGCAGCTGGCAATTTTGATAGATATGACCCTACACAGTTTCCATTATGGAATAAAGGTGAAGCACCTTCTGAAGAAAGAACTACACCAGGATCCCCGGGAACCAACATATCTGAGCAGCTTTGAATGGTATCCTCTGAAGCAAATAAAAGAATCACTGACTCACCAGACACAAGAAGCCTGCAATTAACAACCATCTGGTGTAAGAACATATTTCTGATAGTTGTAACGAAGTTACAAAAGAAGATGGTTTTACCCAGCAGATAGAGGAAGACCTCCTCGCGAAGTTATGATAGGTCCAGACAAGGTGGCTAATGCTTCTTTTGTACCCTTTGCATCAGTGAATGCTTTTCCACATAAAATCAGCGATGATCGCTCAACATCAGCAGCAATAAAATCATTATTCCCTTGAGCACCAAGACCAAGAACATCCCCAGCACTTGGACTGCATAGTAAATAATTAACAACAATCTGGTAGGTGTAATATAACAAAGTGTTAAAACATAAAGGGATTCCCCGAAATGAAGCAGCAGGTTCCACCATCAATAAGTCCCACTGAAGAATATAAGAAGATAAGACTAAATTGGGCACATTTTAGCAATGCTATCTGCCATACCAAAGTATCAGAAATCATGTATTTTTCCACCAAGTATGGACGAGAACACTTGATTAGATTTGTTTGACATGATTAATCAGCTTGATATATCAAGATATTCCTTGCAAATGATGCATAACATACCCACTACAAGAATTAACATATTAATTCATTCTTATATAATATGAAGAAATATATGTGAATTAATAAATAGAATATACAAGAGAGAATTTAAAGTGGGTAGTGGCAACTGAATGCGTGCCATTAGCTTGGAAGGCTAGGATTACAGTCTACATCGATTCAGCATTCTCTAATTAAAAGAGATGTAGTACAAAGTTGGTAACCCCTTTTGCAGTGATTGTAACATACTATATTATGCATGTTTTTATTCTTGTATAATCCTAAAAAAAAATGTAGTCCACGTTGTATGCAACTGTCTTCATGAATGAAAAGGCATTGGGCAACTGCTTCTCGCAAAAAGAAAGCTTCAGCACACTCAAATATATTAGAAGCAATTAGCTATAAATAAATAAAGAAAGAAAAAGGAAAAAAGGGCAGCCAAGTGCCCTGCCAAGTCTTAAATAATGGACAAGCCCTACTGACATGTTCACAAGCGCATGAGACCTCAAAGTTCAAGGCATGAAGGATTACTATTTCTAGGTTCTTAAGAATAACCGAAGGTGCTAAAATTATATGATGAATTACAATTGAGAATACCTTATAGATGTGGCAACATAAATTGTCAGAGGACAGGAATCATGGGAAACTGCACGAGTAGGGGTTCTCCAAAGAACACTGGAAAGTGACAATACAGCAGAAGGACTGTCGCTTATTATACGAACTTTGGCATCACATTTTGGAGATGAGCCAATAGCACCGTCATGAACAAAAATTATGGAGATAGACGATATGTGTGCTGTGACCTGGGAACAAGATGCATGTATTAAAACATAGCAATGTGGCAACCATCAAAATATGTTCCAAGAAATCTATTTAAACGGAGGCAGTATATTTGCACGACATGTCTTCTTTTTCCTTTTTTTTTTTTTCGATAATTAAGAACCCATCCTACGCCCTTTTGAACCCACTCCACAAAGGTAATCTCGAGGTTCAACGCTATGTTACCAGAAAACGCTAATATCCAAACGAATTATGTATTGATACGCATGATCCAAAATATGGTACACTTCCGTTCTAAAACGATAAATTTAGTGATCTGAAACAATTTCAAAATTTTTTCCAATAAATTTCCTTAAATGTTTCCTTGGAAGGAAAAAATCAAATATAATGAATTAAAATCTAAAATAAGCTAAGTTTTGACAAGACAAAACATAAAAAATGGGTCATAACACTCATAGAAATGTTTTGCTTCATGACGAAGAAAAACTAAATTTTATTAAATGCCTAGTAGTTAAAAGAAAATTACTCTAAAAATACCTTAAATTCACAAGTATATTATATATACAAGTCTACCCTATCGTACCACATTTTAGAGCATGTGGCGTACGACGTTCCCATTACCGTTCCCCGTACTGGAACGATCCACGTTCTAGGTCACATAGGTTCAAAGGCCACCCCCCTAAGCCAGTGAACCAAGCAAATGGGAGAGAATTTGAACCTTCATCAGTAACGTGGGGAGCACACCCACTTACCAACTCTAATAAACAATTAAAAACCAAGAGAAGGTTGATACAATTGGCTAAACAATATCTAAAGTGGACAAGTCTTGGGGGATATTTGGAAGATAGTAGTGACTACTAGTGATGGTACCACAAAGCTTCAAAAGAATCGCAGCTATTTTTCATAAAGAATAAAAAAGGAAAGAAAATCTGACCATCTATTTTTAAAACCACAAGTCCGGACATGCCTGCTTTAAAAGTTTACTAAATTGTGCCTTCGAAATTTCTGAAGATCCTCCAAGAACATTTCCTCTGACATGAACTGGAAGTCCAGATAATGACTCTACACAATTTGAAAAACAAAAAGGTGAAATCAAAGTAACACTACAAGAGAAAGAAATAAAGTCAGAAATAAATTCAACAATGTATAACTACCTGCACCAGTTGCACCTTTCTGCCGTAGCTCAGAAGGCTTCAAGTTTAGAAAAGCTTTATCCTTCACAATTACACCTCTTCCAGCCAGAGCCCAATTAAGACCAATAGAAATTCCAGGGGCCTCCCTGCATAATGAAAGGTATGAGGAATAATAATTATCCATAGATATACACAATTACATGCAATTAAAATAATACAACTTTTTCCAAAATAAAAGGACAAGAATATCAGAGTTTAACATAAATTACTTAAATCCTCTAACAAAAACCTGTAATATAGTATCTCTCTACTGTCTACATGAAAGAAAACTTGGAATCAAGTTGAGCAAGTTTGGCGCCACATTTGAAAATTGACTAAAAACATGACTCCGTCTTACAAAATAAGTGTCCTTCCTTGGTTCAACAGTTCAAAATAGATAGCGACATAAAAAATGTTGATAAGTAACAAAACCACCCTATATTGCATTTTGAGAATTGGAAATCTTAGGCATGTGCATTTTATGGTTTAAACATTTTGTCTAACTTCACCAACATTTTCTTCGCTGGACATAAACATCATTTAAGACTCAGTTTATATATTTTATAATCCAACTTTCATATCAACATTTTCTCATATAAATCAATGACAAGTTCTTTTCAATTCTCTTCTCAAAATTTCCCTTTCAACGAGAGCAAAAATTGCAGAATGGTTCATTCATTGGTAGTCACATCTCAAAAAAAATTGCCGACCTCGCCGACAATTAATACCACAAAAAAATTTCAGAATTATTCATTCCAAGCATTTGATGCTGAAACAGAGATTGAACACAATCATAAACTACTCCAACTTAGTCTAGAACGACATCACAATATCCATCATACTCTAAGCAAACTAAAATTCCTAAACATCATACTTGCACTACCAGTTCTTCAAGAGACCGTTTACATTTTTCTCATTCCTTTGTACAAATTCCTGATAGAGAAAATTGTTTGTGGGATGATTTGGAATATACAAAACCCTCGAGAAAAGGAATGTTAAACATTGGTAGCACAATTACAGAGGAAGGATCAGCACAATCTATTCCATTCCATATAATTAAAAACCAGATATTGATCTTCCAAAATCAAACACTAATATAACCACCTTCACATTTATATGAGTGTAGACACTCCATTTTGACTAGCCCTAAGACTTGGGCTCTCTTTCCGAACACTAGATGATGAAAGTTAGAATGTGTTATCTTACGAATTCCTCAGCAAGAGAGCCAGGTTCAAGCCTTAATCCCAACTTTACATCCGTTTTGGCCAAACTATTTTAGACCATTTTTAAATCTTTTCCAAGATGTGTTTTTTTTTTCATGTGGATTCAAACATTTCTACAAAGTTCCGAGACTCGCATTTTCAAAATTCAAGTGTTATATTTTCTTAGTAAATTGAGCAAGGACAAAGTAGTAATGAGTGGAAGAAATGGGAATTTCCTAGAAAAAATCATGTTTTCCCCTTCTAAAAAACTATCTGGCCAAACGATTTTTTGTCTAGCCAAATGATTTTTTGTCTAGCCAGCTGAATTATCCGGGTAACAGAGCAGTTTTGGAAAATTCGGCATTTTCTCCAAATTTTACACAAATATCTTAGATATTTTGCCTTTGGGCTTCCTCTGCAAGTTTCTCAAATATTTTCTTTGTCTCAAAAGTCTATAGATACACCTCTCCTTCATTTCAAAGGGGTTACAAAATTTGTCTACACCCACACATCATCTTCAACCTTCTCACTTTTCTTCACTTCTTCTTTCCTGATACACCATCCAAAACTCCATTAAAGCTAAAACTAAGGTTGAGAAATATTTCTATGAGGTTACAAAATATTTAAAAAGACTAAAAGACTTGTTTGAGAGCCCATCTCTTGCACTTCATCTTCAACCTTCATTTCTCATACACCCACTACCAAAACACCATTAAACCTTGACTTGGAGCTCGTGCTACGGATTCTTGGACTTACTCAAGAACTTTGAGGGTGTTCGGAAAGAGTTTGACAATAAAGAAGTTCACCCTTTTTCAATATGTGAAACTTTTGAACTATTTTCATCTTCTCTCTCTTGTTCTTCATTTATAAGCTTTGTACTTCACTATTAGCTTGTTGAAATCATGTGATGGGTCCTCATGGATATGGAGGGAACTAGGATATAGCCACTTATCCATTGAGTTGATTGTTCTTTTCATTTTCTTATACTTTTTACCATTTTCTTGCTTTCCAGTGCTATAATCCATTGTTGTTAGGTATTTTTGGAACCTTGTAGATGTGGAGGGAGTAGAAAGTAGCCATCCATCTACAAGTTTGATTATGTAGAGTTGTTTCTCTCATTTCATACACTTTTTCATCACATATCTCATCGTCTTAGCATATTGGCCTATATGCTTCAACTCATGCTCAATCTTAATGACTAGTTGAGATTGCTTCATCGGGTTAGTTGGATGATTTTTGGGATTTAATGTTGAGAAAGTGGTTGGTTTTCGTTTTTATTAGTTTTTTAGAAGGAAGGTAAGAGGTTTTATGTCAAAGGTGTTGAATATTCCCTTCTCAATCATTTGTGAACATGAAAAGGGGTGGAAACACCCATGTCTCATTGAATAGGAGAGGAGTTATCAATATCCTTTGATGAATCTCTTACTTTGAAACAAAGCTTTCACCAAGAAATGATTTGCATTAATCTACGCTCTCCACTTGATAGAATGGATTTTGATATTAATTTACCCTTATTCACAAAGATTCCTATCTATTTCTTGGGCTTGAAGTCATTCTTGATTTTGATCCATTTAATTGTTGATTTGTTACAAAATATTTGTTATATATATATATATATATATCTATTCATATCATTGTTGAGGTTATAGCCACATCTACCCCTTCCCCAAGGGATCCTTATGGGCAGAGCTATTAGAAGGGATGAACACCCCTCAGCAAGTGTCTTTTGGCCTCTGTCCTAGAATTCTGCACTGACCTAAATCCCAGCCGAAAGAAGAATTCGGCCAACTACTTTCTTGTTCGGCCGGTCTATCCTGTGTCTGGCTGGATGCCTCCTTCCAAGAACAGAGCAAGCAGTTTCTGGGGAATGTTCCCTTGGGTGGTTCTGGAGCTCCTAGATGGTTTATTTGTTTTACTTAGCATGATTTGTTAGATTCAGCAGTAGTTTAGCTAAATCAATTCATTGTTGTAATAATCTCTCTCCCATCCTTTCTCATTTGAATTGTTGTAATAACTTCCAACCCCACGTCTTTCTTACCCTTTTATTTACATCATGTTTCATTTATCATACTTGTATATTGAATCCATTTTCCATGCATTCGAGTCCAGTTCATCCACATTTATGGGATTTATTATTTGAATTGTGTTGTTCCATGCCTTGATATGATATTCATGTCATATCTTAGTATCTGGACTTCTGGATGCATATTGTGGGTGTCTTACATTAGTTGATTGCATATAGGATCATATATATATAAAAACATTTCTTGAAGCTTATCTTGGAGTACTAGGTGAGAATTTTCGGCTTTAGCATATTGCATGTGCATGACCCTTATCATATTTGTTGCTATACCATGCGGCTATTTGCTTAGTTGATATTACTCTATGATTGCCAGTGGATGGAGGTTGTGTTATTTAATTTGAAATAATGTTGATTCTTATGCCTATGGATTGAGTTGTACATATCTCAAAACTCTTTCAAAATGCATAAAATCAAAGCATACCAAAATAAATGACACAATCTATACTTGATTGCTTCACATAGTAATTTGCAGCATTAATAAATAATCAGAACATGAGCATATAATGTTTATAAAACTCATATTATGATTTAGTGAAGGCAGACCTTTTAATTGGGTGAGAGGGGTGTTCAATTCATGACCTTCCTCTCTCATACCTAAGGTCCCGAACTGAGACATTTCTAGTTATGACAGACAAGGGCCTTTGGCATGAGTCACGGATTTCCTAATTTTCTAAAAAGATTAGGTGGCGACTCTAAGATATAGTAATGTAGTCCATTTCTGGCATATTTTGCAATAAATGGATCTTCTATAAAAGTTGCGGACTTGGACTCTCATTTTCTGTTTCACATTGCAATATTGAAACTAGATCAAGAGATCGGGAGCTGTTGGGCGCCCTTGGTAACCCCAAAAGCATCCCACTACGAGTACATAACATAAAACTGAACATAAATGATTAAGTGAAGGTTGAATCATGTTAACAACATTAATAACAATTACAAATTTCAACCAAAAATGGTATCAAGGAATTAACATAGGGATGCAGGACATCTTGAATTGAGTCCTGTTTGTGTTTCACCTTTTAAACTGTCGCGTGTCATGACTAAAGATCAAAAGAGTGCAAGAGGTATCATTGTATCAAAGTATTTTCCAAGAAACCACTGGTAAGTGGTAACCTACTAGCTTGTAGGTATATGGACTACATAAATATGTAAATATATACATCTGTAGTCAGATAATACAAACACGCTATAATATATTTAATTTAAGCACGACCCTTTGGCTGTAAAAGGCCAATGGAATCTAATAGCCGAAGAAAATCAAAAGAAATCACAAAGTGGTATTTTTTTATATTTTTTTTTTTTTTTGGAAGTGAAGGATCACCTAGGAGAGGCAACTGCTTCAGCTTCATCTCCAACAAATGGTGCTGAAGCTAGATTCTGCAAAAACTCAACAAAAAGAATCTTGTTAGATCATGCACTTCAAATCAAGCTTCTTTTTCTTTTTTTTTTTCTATAGGCTCGGAGAAACGTCAATTGTAAGTTTTAGAAGTTAATTTCTCGATAATACATTGAAATAATATACACAAACTCAACCCTCAAGTGAAAATGCAATTAATGAAGAATAGCTATCATCCTAACAATTGCTACCCTGAGGCTTGTTCGATTAATAGGATTAATAGTGAAAGGATTAATAATCACATGAGTTAGTGTGTAAGATTAGTTATCCAATTAACCATTTATTACGTCTTCATTTTTTTTTTTTCTTTCATACTTAAAATTATAATTCTCAACCACTCTCAATATTAAAAAATTTATAATTTTGTCATATTGAATATCTGTCGTACATCTTCGCAATCAAACATGGGATTGTGAGTACATAGACTAACAATCCCAAACCTATGCTATAATCCTACTAATCAAACATGCCGTAAGTGCTCTATGATAGTACAATACTTCCCAGAAAGTCAAAGCCCCTTCTCCAAATCTGATTGATGCTATATGTGTGTGTGTATTCAACCCCATAAAAAAAAATTAAAAAAAAAATAAAAAAAGATTATAAAGCTCAAATGTTAAAAACGAAATCTTGTTGATTCAAACCAACATGAACACAAACATTTCGACAGCAAATACATATAATACAAGTGCACAACTAGGAGAGGAAAAAAAACAGAATTAAAATGCTAAAATTGAAGGATTTAAACAGATAAAAGAACAGAATCAAATATATTCAATAATAAACTGAAATTGAAATTAGGAATGAAAGAAACAAATAATATAGGAGGAATTAGAAGTGAAACTGACGCGTGGCCGGGAAGAATTGGTTGCAGAAGAAATGAGGTGATTGGAAGAGGTAGAACCGCAGACGAATCGCTTGAGGTGGAGGTGGAGGTGGAGGTTCCTCTTCCTCATCGCCTTGCTATGCTTTTACTGCCATTTAATGCTCTCTTCCTCTCTATTTTTGGATGTACGAAACACACCACTCCAATTGCAACTGCAACTACTGCTGCTGCTACCTTTCCCTCTTTCTTTATTTTCTCCTGTTTTTGTTTTTTTTTAAATAAAGTTTTTTAAAGGGGAATTGACGGGTAGATTTCGATTTCGATTTCGATTTCGTTTTTGTGACTTGTAATCTATCAAGTTTTAAATATTTTTTTTTTAGTGATTAAGTGATTTTTTAAATTATTTGTTAACTGGAAGATAAGTGGCGTAGTTATATATGGGGAAGGTGATAGAATGTTTGTCTGTCTGCACTAATAACTTTTTAAATTTTTGTTGTTTTTAACATGTATAGTGTGAGACATAAATTCTTTACTAATTGTTTTTTAGCCTGTGACGTGAAAATATGCAGTAATTCAATCAAATTGAGTCTGTCACGTTAGAGTGTCACATGTTACGTTTAGGAAAAATACGTTAAGGAGTTTTTAATTTTTTTTTACAGTGTCACAATATACTTGTCACGTTGTCACATTTGAAAAAAATATACTAAGGAGGTTTTTTTTTTTTATTGTTACATTATACCTATCGCGTTGTCACATTTGAAAAAAGTACATTAAGGATGAATAAAAATTTTGAAGTGTCACATCATACATGTCACGTTGTCATATTTGAGAAAAGTACATTATAGAGTTTTTAATTATTTTGGAATGTCTCATCATTGGATTGTTACATTGAGTATCACACCATACCTATCATACATTCAAAAAACAAAAATTCTCTAATTAACTAGTGAAAGTATATTTGTCTAATCAATACACATCCGCATGTGAAAAAAGACTTATTGGCCACACACTACACTTAGGATTAGTTTGGCATAAACTAAATAATATAAAAAGTCATTATCCTATTTAAGTCACATCATCTTATTTAAATCATATCACCTCTCTAACACATCATATCAAACTCAACCCAAACCCAACCCATATAAATCAATAAGTCAAAAATACACTTTTTTAGAACATCTCAAACCAACACTTAATAAAGACTTATCAATCAACCATTTAAAATATGAAAATTTCCAAAATAGAACTTTCCAATGCATTTTTCTTTTTCAAAAGACTTGAACATAAATAAATAAATATATATATATATATATATATATTATATTTTTTAATGTCCGCCAAACATAATCCCCAACCGTAATATGAGCAAGAATCTCCTCATTCACTTCCTTAATTTCTTATTTGATAGACAATTGGGCCGATTTTTGGGTGGAATTTTAATAATTCGAACCGTTTACATTTTAAAATTTGTCATGTATATCATATCTGTAAAAAATCAAGTCGATCGGATATCAAAAATCAAGTGAACTAAATGTTTTATTAAACAATAAAACTGTTTATTAATTTTTTTTTAATAAACGGTTTTTAGTTTTTCCGATATTCAATCAATTTGATTTTTTACAAGTATGATGTACATGATAAATTCTAAAATGTGAACGATTCGGATCATCGAAATTAGATCCAAAAGTGAACCCAATGGCCCATCAAGTAATGAGTCAAGTAAGAAAGTCAAGGAGGAAATCCTTGCTCCCGTAATATAGGCTCCATTTAGGAACTTTAATTATTAGTTAATTTTTTAATCGTTGACTATTTTATGAAATGAAAAAAAATAAAAATAAATTGTGTTTATATTTAGGATGATTTGTAAAAAAATAAAAATTATAATTGAGTAAATCATTCTGAGAAAAAAAATTTGATTGATTAACATATAAAATGTGATATTTTATCTTATTTATTAATTATTTATTATTTATTATTTATTTTTTTGTCTTTATTACCTATTTTAACAAACACTCCTATCATATTTATAACATCATCTTCTTCTTCTTCTTCTTCTTCTTTTTTGACATTGGAAGTTCATTTTGACTTGAAAAATACTACATCCCCATTTTGGACCCTCAATTTTCGACTCCTAATAACATATCAAGCACTCATTAGATAGTTTTTATATTTTAATAAAATTTTCAAATAATATGACTTATGACACATCATTTGAGAGTGATTTGGAGGTCTAAAATTAAGATCTAAAATATTTTCCAATTTGAAAATGGGGGATTTGGTGATAGCCCCTCACTATCTAATTTGTCTTTCAAAAGGACAAGAATTATATAAGTACTTTTGAAACCCCCGGATATTTTAAAACTTGTTTCTTTTACTATATTACCCTCATATCTATCAGCTCTTCTATTAAGCCATCTTCACTATGTATTTCAGAGTAAAATTTTACTTTGATACAGAGTAAAATTTTACTTTAGTTTCAGAGTAAAATTTTACTTTCATACAGAGTAAAATTTGTCACATTGGAGTATCACATCATACCTATCATACATTCAAAAAACAAAAATTCTCTAATTAACTAGTGAGAGTATATTTGTATAACCAATACACATCCACATTTGAAAAAAGACTTATTGGTCACACACTACACTTAAGGTTGGTTTGGCATAAACTAAATAATATAAAAAGTCACTATCCTATTTAAGTCACATCATCTTATTTAAATCATATCACCTCTCTAACACATTACATCAAACCCAACCTAAACTCAACCCATATAAGCCAAGAAGTCAAAAAGTACACTTTTTTAGAATATCTCAAACCAACCCTTAATAAAGACTTATTAATCAACCATTTAAAATGTGGAACCAAATGGTATAGAAATTTCCAAAATAGAACTTTCTAATACATTTTTCTTTTTTAAAAGACTTGAACATAAATAAATAAATAAATATATATATATATATATATTATTTTTTAATGTCTGCCAAACATAATCCCCAACCATAATATGAGCAAGAATCTCCCCATTCACTTCCCTACTTAATTTCTTATTTGATAGACAATTGGGCTGACTTTTGGGTAGAATTTTAATGATTCGAACCGTTTACATTTTAAAATTTGTCATGTATATCATACCTATAAAAAATCAAGTCGATCGGATATCAAAAATCACGTGAACTAAAAGTTTTATTAAACAATAAAACTGTTTATTAATTTTTTTTTAATAAACGGTTTTTAGTTTTTTCGATATTCAATCAATTTGATTTTTTACAAGTATAATGTACATGATAAATTCTAAAATATGAACAGTTCAGATCATCGAAATTGGACCCAAAAATAGACCCAATGGCCCATCAAGTAATGAGTCAAGTTAAAAAGTCAAGGAAGGAATCCTTGCTCCCGCAATATAGGCTCCATTTAGGAACTTTAATTATTAGTTAATTTTTTAATCGTTGACTATTTTATGAAAAGAAAAAAAATAAAAATAAATTGTGTTTATATTTAGGATGATTTGTAAAAAATAAATAAATAAATAATTGAGTAAATCATTCTGAGAAAAAAAAAGTGATTGATTAATATATAAAATGTGATATTTTATGTTATTTATTAATTTTTTATTTTTTATTTTTTTGTCTTTATTACCTATTTTAACAAACACCCCCATCGTATTTATAACATAATCTTCTTCTTCTTCTTCTGTTTTTTTGACATTGGAAGTTCATTTTGATTTGAGAAATACTACATCCCCATTTTGGACCCTCAATTTTCGACTCCTAATAACATATCAAGCACCCATTAGATAGTTTTTATATTTTAATAAAATTTTCAAATAGTATGACTTATGACACATCATTTGAGAGTGATTTGGAGGTCTAAAATTAAGATCTAAAATATTTTCCAATTTGAAAATTCCCTCAGGTCATGCAGCCCAAATGACAAAATAACATATTCATTCCTTATTTTTCTTCATTTTGGGATTGATTTAGAGGTCTAAAATTAGAGATTCAAAATATTTTCCAATTTGAAAATTCCCCGACTCATGCAGCCTAAATAACAAAATATCATATTCATTCCTTATTTCTTTTTCTTTAGAACAAGTTTGGAAAGTTACAATAATAATAAAAAAAAATTATTAAAAATTATTTTTAAAAAATTAAAAAGTCAGACAATCATACAAAAAAATCAAAAAAATTATCCTCTCTACTTTCTATACCTTTTTTTTTTGGAAAAATTACCCATAAATCCTATCTACAGAAAAGTTATACCATTTAGTCCTTTAAGTTTTTTTGTATACCATGTAGTCCTATTTTATTGGCAGATTTTTGGGGGTGTGATTTGATTCTATTTGTTTTGACATCTATACCCTTTCCATGTTTGTTTCTTTTAACATTCAACTGGTTCCGTATTGTCAACGTATTGTGGGCATTGATTACCATTGTTTTCATTGTTATTGGGAGTCACAATACGGTGAGTGCCATTTTTACCGGTCAATACCCTTTGCATGTTTACTCCCTTAAACATTTGTTTATGTTTTGTATTGGGTTTAGGTAATGTTAATGGTTTGTGGGGATTTTTTTATTTATTAACATTGTTTTTCACCATTTCTGTAATCTGTCCAAAAACGGTGTCCACCATGTTCATTGATGGCCATTTTTCCCACTGTTTTTTTTATTGATTAACATTGTTTGGTTATTGATTAACATTGTTTTCATCATTGATAATTGATTACCATTGCTCTCCTTCATTAACATTGTCTTTCACCATTGGTTTTTGGAGACAGAAAATGGTGAGCACCATTTTCCCCGGTGGTGGGCGTTATTTTCCCGGTTGGCCACCGTTTTTGTCGCACCGTAACTGTACAGTGCAGGGTGTTGGATTGCTGTGTTTACACTGCTGTGGGGAAGATTTTCAAACGAGTGTGTGGTTGTTTATTTTATTTTATTCCCCCCCCCCCCAATGTCTGTGATCTATCAGTGGGATGGCTTCGATTAATTACAGCAATTTCATGGAAATAAAAAGTGTTTTTGTTATGTTTTTCCTGGGTATGTTGCCATAGTAATGGTTTCAATTGTGGGGGTTTTCCGATCTACTGCGAGGGAAAACAAAGATCAACAAATTAAGGACTTTGGGCATTTTAGTAAAATCCACATTGGAGTATTCCTCAATTACCCTTACTAGAAGGTGGTAAACAGAGTCAAACACGGGTAATGTTGTCATTAACACTAGATTGAGACTAATTGGATTATAAGATAAAAAATAGGACCAAATGGGTTAGAAGATAAGGATTTGGGATTTATTGGTGCATGTCCCTTTTTTTTTTTGTAAAAAGCGAAAAAAAAAAAATATTCATCCTAAATATACTAATTTTTTTAACCTCACATTTTAACTAAAAAATCAAAAAAAATCTAAAATAACTTACTCTCAAACCAACCCTTGGCTTCTTTCTCCCTTGCATCAACTAATCACTATATTTTTCAAACTCTGTTTTTCAAAGTTTTTTGTCCTCAATATATATATATATATATTTAAGTGTCAAGAAAAACCTCACTTATTTTTAGATCAAGTTTTCATTCTCAACTCCATTGCCATCACCTCTTGCCACTTCCCATCTCTAGCTAATCACCAAACAATTTTTTTTTGTGTTCCAAAAACATGTGTACCAAACATTTTTTTATTTTAATAAGCCCAAAAAAAAAATTTAACAGATAAAAGGAGAAAAAGCAAACTGACACCATAAACAAATGCCGCCATAAATTAGGCTCTCCACCTGAGTATCTTAACACACACACACACACAACAAAACAAAACAGAAAAACAGTAACTCTCCATAACCTAGGGGGGAAATGTGCCCTCGTTAATCCTCTAGAAAACATGGTTGTGGACCACTTGTACAATGAATTGTAACTCAATACTTTTCAAAGTCCAGCGTATTTAGATGATATACCATCTTAAATCCCCCCTCAAAGCAGGCACGATGAATATGCTTTCTACAGCAGGACCCTACAAAAAAAGACACTAATAAAACCTATAAGGGTAGAAGCCTCACTTTTGCGTGAAATTTGGACAAAAATTCATGAATGAACAAATATAAGGCTGTAGTATAATCGTCTGACGTATCATGCCGGGGATGAAACAGCTGAAACTTTGGCATGAGCCGCCCCCTTCACTTTCTTATATGCAACGTCTCTAGATTTGTTTGATTTCCGTTTCTTTGAAGAGTTCGAGGCTCTCTCTTTTACCTCGTCAGTCTGCTTTTCCTCCTTATCAGCTATTTCTGTTAATAGCTCCTCATCTGCATCCTTAGTATTTGATTGCAGTGCAGGCACATCTTTCACCTCTCTTCCCTCCATTTCTGGTTCAATAACCGACATCCCCATCAGAGTGTAGTCCAAGAGGAATGTGCTTCTCTCCAGCCTGTCTATCCTACTGAAATGCCTCTGGCAATATGGGATAAGACCTTCCAGTAATTGTCCAATGGCTCTTATCTGTAATCCAACATGCACATTTTCAAAAGTAAAATTAATCCCAACTCAACAAAATTAAAGTAACTGGCAAAATATTAAACTGCACCAACATAGAAGATTATTCTGCTCTCTGACTGAAACACAACATAGCTTCTAGACTTGCATCAATCAAGCAGTTAACAATATCAACTCTATTTCAACTTAAAAACCAACTCACAGCCTTTTGTAACCGAACATTTACAAATTTAGGTCCCGAGTCTTTAAGAAACAAACAAAAGCAAAGAAGATGAATAGGCCTCTATTTACAAATTAAGGCCTCTATTTACGTAGCCAACCCCATTTGATGGGACTTAAGACTTGGCTTGGCTTGGTTTGGTTATGTGTGTTTTTAAACAAAATAAGATCCAAATAATAATTTAACAAACAAAAACATAAACACACACAAGAACACAAAAAATTACATGGTTCGGTAAATGCTGGCATACTTCCACAGAAGATAAACAATTCCACTATAATCATAGCCAAAGCACAATAGGTGGAGGAGCAACATACAACTCAACAGACACCCAATCCCAAGCTGTAGCAACCCATGCACCAACCACACCTTGGATAACCTTTATCCCAAGCCATATCACTACCTACCGACCATCATGCTTGTGGCTGGTGTCAAAACCCTACTCACATCCCCTCTCACACAACCCCACATTTCTCATTTTCTCAACTCAAATATCTACCTATTGATGGAACCCTAAAACCCAAGTTACTTGTTGGACTTAATAATCCAAATTACACACTTAACAAGAATTTCCAGTAACAAAGTCTAAAATAGAAAACCTAATTTTAATAGAATTTGCAACACTTCTGTTAATACAGCCAACCAAAAAGCTCACAGATTAGACAAGTATAGAATTTCATCTAGAATTCCTGAACTTCATATTTCCAATGTAGGTTTTCGGCAGATGCAACCCATCAACTCCAAATTAGTAGATCATGGCTTATAATTAATGCTTGTATACCAACTTCATGGGCTCTTTAAAGTAACCAAGCAAACAATTAATATAACAGTTTTCTGTGTAATAATTTGTTAATTTTAAACTTTAGAAGCCATAGCAAGAATACAGGGGGAAAAAAAATAACACCTCAACAATCTCCGTTGGTGGAATGATGTTGAAAACCCGGAAAAGAACAAACTGTGCAATATGACAAAGTTTTGGCTTTGTATTCCATTCGCGGACATATTCAAGGAGTTGAAGAAACTGTTCCTTGCCAAGGTCATGAAGCGCTTTATCTATCTGAACTTCAGCCTCTCTCTTCCTGCAGGGAACTCAAATCAAATATATGCATTGTCATAAAGACTAGAGAAAATAAAGAGTTGATTGCCAACCTGCAGAGTTCAGTGAATAACTCAAAAAGTTTATGAGGTCTGCGAAGCTCAAAGGCAATTTGGATTGCTTTGGTGTAGTCAGCATCTGATACAGCATTTTCTAGTTCTTGACCTCTTAAAACCCCTTCCTCCTGCATGACCAACAGAAGAGCTTCAAAGACTTTAAACTAGTAAGAAAATAGCAAATTATACATGTGCATTGGTTTTGAATAAATTAAGTCCCTACATTCCCAAAATTTAAACAGATGAAAGCTAAAACTACTAAGCACCATGCTAGCAGTCAAATGGATGGAGATCCCTCCACGTGAGGTTGTTATTTCAGGCAGTATGCAGATGACCTAAACAACAATTGACTGAAGCATAATTAAAGTTCAGCAAGTGTGCAATCAAACACCATAATCATCTTGGCCAATTACCACGAGGAAAAAAAACTTGGCCCTGAAAAATTCCCACGCAAATACAATTCAGCAGGCACTTGCACAATTTTGGCAACAATAACAAGAGGTTAATCTACTAAATCTATGGGAAAACCTGTGTGCTGCAAAGCCATTAAAAAAATTCATAAATTTTGTCTTAAAATGTAATTTAAAGTTGGCAGTCACTAGGACCAGAAAAATTCTCTTTCTGCACCAAGAGTTTCAGAAAGCATTAACAAAACACTAATGAAACAAGTGAGATGCCTCACTTCTTTACGGAAATCTTCCTCTTTATCAAAAGCAGTAGAATCATGCCACAAATTGACAACTGCATCACTGCCACCAGTTGCAATCATTTCTGTCTTCTTCCCAACAGCTAAGGCCCAAACCTGCAGATCATATAGTAAGAACAAGATGACAATAAAATTTAGCACGCACCATTATACAATGAATGACGCCATCAAAGTAATCATTGACCCCAAAAAAAAAATCCAATTACAAGAAAGATAAAAATTAAAATTAGAAAAAAAAAAACTATATGGAGAATTGATAAGAAAATGCCATACATTTAAAAGATCGAACAGGTAAATTAAGTACGATAACAAAGCAGTTGGAGTTATATGTTCGAGAAACGACATAATAATCCAAACTATAAGGGCAAAAAAACAAGATTGTAAAACAGCTGCATATCCGTGGGGAGAAAATCATACAAAGGAAAATAAGTATTAGGCGGAAGCAAAAGTTGAATCATTCAATACATGCTGTATAAGTATGCATGGGTGCTTGTGCAGGCTGACTTGGTAAAAACATACATCATTATTTTGGGTTCCCATGGAATTAGCCATGGTCAATTTGGAACATCATTAAATTCTTCATATGTAAGACCTACTACCTCTCCCACACCCTGCTATAAAAATGGAAGCCTTGTAAACCAGGTCTGACCTACATCATATTCTTCATATTTCTTTACCACTATTTCATTTATTTGACAAGTATTCTTCCTTTACCCCTATTTTCCTTTTTATCTAAAGTATTATTCCTTACCACTATGAATTTATGATTACTAAACAAGACCAAGCCTTGTATCCCAATTAGCTAGGATCAGCTAAATGAATCATTTTCCACCACTTCACTCTGACAATAGTTGTATGCTCAGTTCAATTAAACAACTGATGTCTTTTTACTACAACATCCCATGCCAGAGTTCAGGTATTCCCCTCCCTCTAACCATTTCATTTTCAGTGATCATATCACACTTCCTTAATATTGCATCTACTGATCTTCGTTGTACATGAACAAACTATCTTTAATATATTCCCCCATATTATCTTCAGTTACTTTTACTCCTATCATTTCACTAATGGTATTCATTTCTAACTATAACTTCCCTAGTCTTACCACATATCTATCTTAACATCCTCATTTCAGCTACTCATTCTATTATTGTGTTAATTTTTAGTTGCTTTATAGTCGTTTTATAAAATTTTCTTCTTAATTTTGTTTATATGCGCCGATTGTATAATATGCTAGAAGCACTCCCTTTGAACCAACCTTATTTAATTCTACAGGTCACATCATCTTCACCTCTCCATTCTTATTAATAATCAAAGGACAAAGAAAATTTTGATTCTCTCTTCTATTTACTACTACAGAAACGAAGAATACCTAGATAACTAAATTGTTCACTTTTGGTATCTTTAGTTTTGACATTCACATCTTTGTTATTTATATTTCCTGTTGTTACTTAAGTAACATTCTATACAAGGCAAACTTCACTTCACCCCCCTCTGGTTTGGGCCGCGTACAGTTTACCCCCTGACATTTGGAAATCACCACATAAACCCCCTGTGGTTACTAGATTGAAGTGCTCAGTTAACACCGTTAACAGTAGAAGTAAAAAGACTATTTTACCCTTATACATAATCCTTATTTACCATTTCTTATTCAATAGCTGTGCATTTGAGAAGAGCAAGAGTTGTGCGGAGAGAACTTAGGGTTTTAACATGTGAAATTAGGGTTTGATTTAACAAATTAATTTAAACAACATAATTTCCATCAAAAATTTATTTAATTAAAATTCAATATACCTTCAAGTTTAAAGTTCAAACCAATTATTCTCTTTTTTTCTTGGTTGAAATCTGAGCATTATACAATATATCGATTTGTCAACACCTACACATGGACTAGCTTGTATGTATCTATATGCATATCTCTATCTATATCTATGTATATGTCCATCAGAAGCTTCTCTTTCTCTCTCTGCCGAACCAAAATATAGAGAGAGCAACTGTAGAGAGAGAGAGAGAGAGAGAGAGAGAGAGAGAGAGAGGGCTCATGTTGAAAGGTATGAATACCAGAGTTCTAGAGAGAAATTTACATAGCGAGAAAGATTAACCAAAATTTTAGAGAAAGAAAATAGAATTTTCTGTAGAGAGAGAGGCAATTTTGTGGAGCTAAAGAGGAGGTAGGGTTTGTGAATTTGCGGAAAGGAAAATGGGGATGCCATTGTCGAGGCGGGACGATAGAGGAGGAGTGGCAGTGTTGTTGGGGGCAGTGAATCAGGTCGATTCGTTGTCATCTAAAGCATGTTTGGACGATTCAGTTTTGAAATCCTCAATTCTAATCTTTCTCTACTTTCGCAAGGCCATTCAGTTGGAGCTCGACAAGCTTCAACAATCGGCCATGTCCTTAGTGACTAGACAATTAGCAGATATATATATGTATAAAAATTACAGTATCTATATTTATGTATGTATCTATAAAATATAATTATATAAAAATTAACTTTAAAAGATTGTATATTTTCTTTCTATTTTTATAGATCTAATAGTCTTTTTACCTCGTTTGTTTTTTTTTCTTTTTTCCCCCTTCTAGGTAGAGGTTTCCAGATCTAGATATTGATGATGAAGATGAGGGTTGACTTTGAAAATTGATGATGAAGAAGATGGTATTTTAGTCATTTAATTCGGACGGAAAATTATATTTCCATGCTTATTTGCACATTAAGCGCGTGTCATGCACGGGTTGTTATGTTAGATGAAAATGTTAACTGTGCACTTCAATCTAGTAACTACAGGGGGGTTGTGTAGTGATTTCCAAATGTCAAGGGGATAAACCGCACGCAACCCAGGGGTAAGGTGAAGTTTGCCCTTCTATATATTTAGTTTTAGTTCTATTAATTTTAAGCCTTTTTTACTTCAATGCTTCTCTTCAAATTTCTAGTTTTAATTCGTCTCCTAGTTTCATCCACAATGGGATATCATCCTGAATGTATCTATTTTTTTTTTCAAATAAGTACCATCCAGAATGTAACTAGTTAATTCATCCAAGGACCAGGAATAATGTAAATAGATAAGGACTCAACGTTGACCTTTAGTGTAATCCAACAAAATAATTAAAAAGGACACCCAGTTTAATCCCCATTGGATACAGCCTTGAAGGCATAGATTAGGTACAGACCTACCCTTCGGCATTATTACACAAAGTAGCTGCCCTCAGGTTCAAACCAACAAACTCGAAGTCGATAAGCTAAGTTGTAACCACAACCAATAATTGGAAATTCACTTGTTTCGCTAGCAAGTAAGCTAATTATAGTCAAAACCCCATCATACATGTCATTTACCATTGTGATTGTTGTTTCTAATTTCCATCCAAAAGAAGGTTCAGCCAAACGTGAAGTAACTACAATAATCCAAATACCTACAATGCAATTAGACAAACCCACAAAATGCATATGAGGTATCAATACGCATGCTCATCATTGCAAATCAATTTAACTCGCAAAAAAATTACACAAATCGACACATTAAGGCATAGGGATCAAAGAATCTAGAAAATTACAACCTCCAAAATCCAAATTCTAGTCTACACGGACCTACAAAATGAAATAAGAAAAGAGTATCTTATCTGTAAGAATAATATAGATAACAATTAAAAGCTAGTTCAGAACCTTATCCTCATGTTGATCATAAGTTGCAATGCATTCGTCAGTTTTAATTGTCCACAGCTTCACCAAGCCATCAGCACCTAAAAATGAATGCCATTTTTTCCGTGAAAGTTAACTAAGACAAAATTAAGCATCAAAATAATAGCACAGCTAGATCAGGTAAGAGCTAGCCGCATTACCACATGAAACAAACTGGGTCCCACGAGTAAGGAATGATGCTCTAAATACACTTGATGTATGCCCTTCAAATGTTTTTAGACATGAACCATTAGATATATCCCATATCTTTATTGTTTTATCTCCAGACGCTGTTATAACACATTGAACAACTGGAGCAAACTCTACTGACCAAATTCCTCTTTTGTGACCTCTTAAAACCACCACTGATACTAGGTCTGGAAGCTTCCATACACAAGCAGTGCGGTCCTGATCATTGACACAGAGGGGGAGAGAGAAGAAAGAAAGAAATGCACCAATTAAGCCAGAAAAAACATATGCCCTTCTGCTATCTGTAACAATTTTATTCAATAAAAAACCATCCAACAATAATATCAAATAAAATTAGAACTACAATGTTGAAGTAGTGCCCCGTAACTTACTAACCTGGGATCCACTGCAAACAAGACTATCATTTGGGGAAATGGCCAGAGAATTTATATCCTTATCATGTGCTGCTACAGCTGCTTTTGCTTTCAAATGTTGTTCCGCGCCTGAGAGACCATCCAAGCTCCAGACCTTAAGGGTACGGTCACTAAACAAGAGAATAATAGGAATTAAACTCACACATAAAATTAACGTTTTATTTCATGAACAAATAGCTGAAGAGAGAAAGAAGACTAAGACTACTATTCTCCAATCCCTGCACCATGTTATGGCATTAAGGTCACAATCTAAACTGAGGTGCACAAGAGGCAATTACTGATCCAATTTAAAATCTATAAGCAGTTAAACATCAATAGATCAACTTAATTCAGAGGTTCTGAAAACTGGAGAGATATTTTACAGGAAATAGTTGTTGCTCCATTTGCCCATGAAATAGCACAAAGACACATCACAATCCACATAGTCATATATACAAACAAACCCTTAGCATGCACCTATAATAAAGGGTACCCCACTAAATTGTGGACTTCTAGGTGAGCTCTCACCTTTTTTGGGTAATTAAGTAATTTATATAACCCAAAGAAAATACACCAAGCTCTCACCTACTGCCACTAACAAAGAAGTTCCGCTGCTTCTTCGAGAAAGCAACAGCTCCAACAGCTCCCATATGACCTACGCCAACTCCAAGACAATGTGTGCTTTCAGCTTCCCATAACCTAACCTACGAAGAAAATGGAATTAGAGACAGACAAACTCCACATGTAGCGAACAACAGAAAAGTGGGAGTAGATATGCCTGGAACAAAAGACTATCAAAAATCTGTTAAGCCAAACTATTAACAGATTGTATTTGAGTTCAAGCAATCAAAATGCTGCTGAAATGGTTAGGAAGCAAACCCCAACCCAAAAATCAGAAAGAAGAAGATATTCACTCCATGGGCAGAAGTGAGTAAGAAAGCTTACACTGTTGTCCTTGCTTCCCGTCACAATAAGCGCTCTTCCAGAACTTGGTACACAGGTATCAAGGCATAGAACAATGTCAGTATGACCTGCCAACACATAGGAACATGACATGGATGCAAGGTCATACACTCGGACCTGCATGACACAAAATTAGGTTACAAATAAGGACTGCACTTCAGGCCAAAAGGCACGCCTCTCATAGATGAACAGGCACTGTGTTAGTCCCGTCCCCCCCCCAAAACCAAAAAAAAAAAGGCACTGTGCATATAAGTCATAAAAACCTATTCTCCGTGATGCCTGTCTTATGCATAAAAGGGGCCAACAGACATTTTTAAGTTATAATTGAAAGCTTATACATAATTTATTTTTATTTTTTACTTTTTGATAAGTAATTATAGTTTACACATTAATTTGTTGTACTTAACTACAAATAATGAAATAGAAGGTCATAATATGAGTGTTTTATTGTTCTGAGCTCCCACATGTAGTGATTCTCCCCCTTTTCTGATTAGTGGTTCTAGCGGAGTAGGACTGACCTGGTACTTCTAAGTTCTAATTCAACCTTCCACTAAAAACTATAATTGATAATTGAAGTACAGCATCTAAGTCAGCAGTAAATGTCATAAAGAAGTGTACACTAATGCTTAGTTTAAGAGAAACACAGTATCACCCAAAGATCATGTGTTCATCATCCCAACCAAGCAGGACACGTGAACAGATGGGCTCACAATGTAAAAAAGCAAGAAAAGCTACTTGGCAGATGAAGGGAGGTACTTATCAATGTTCCACTGAAAATCAGACATAGCTACCTAAAACTGAATGAAGCAAAGACTTAAAATGCATAAAAAGACAGCCAAAGGTTTCATTCATGTGTATAAAGACACTTGTCCCATCAACATCCATCTATTGCTTTCATTATAAAACATATTTAATTACTCAATTCATTATCTATCATTCTGTTGCTTTCAGTTTGTTCCCACTGAGTTTGCTTCTTTAAGAGAATTCATTAGCATGTACATCTTAGACTCAATTCCTTTTGATTAGGCTACCGTAGTAGATCCTGCTGTAGTTAAACCATTGATTTGGAGTGAAAGAAAGAAAAAGAAAAAGAAAAGGAAAACAAGTGACCGATTTTGCAACTATGTCCAATCTAAGTGCTTGCCAAAATTTAGTTATGATATACTTGAGCTATATGTTTAAGAACATCCACACACCCATAAAAGATCCAAGATCAACTAATCATGATGCCGCTTAGAAAAACAGAGAAAAGAAATATCAATCAACCAGACTTGGAGTGTATGACCAGTACAACAGAAGCTTTTCTAGCAGAAAGAAACATTGAGTAACTTGCCTGTTCAACACTCGTGGCAACAGCAAGAAATTGTTCATCCTCACCCAGAAATTTCATATCCACTATTTCTTCATTGTATCCTACAAGCCTTTTGCTTAGGGTTAACTTCAAACAACCTTCAGGATACACAGTCGGCGAATAGAAGAGAAACTGTTGGTCAGCTGTGACACACAGCAATCCTTGATCTGAGGGTAACATGACAGCAGCAATGAAGCCTCTTTTCAAGTCTTCCTCATCAGTTTGGACAGTAACATCTGAAGTCTTCTGCTCAAAAAGGCAACCTGCACTGTTGCAGAATAAAAACAAACACGTAAATAATAATATTAATCACATAAAACCACATTCTCAATAGAACCAAACAGCTACAAGAGAAAGGATTCCAAATTCAAGTGACGAGATATTTCCAAGTAGTAATTAATAAATAATCATGTTGTAGCACTATACCCCTCGGAGTTCCATAGCCGTACAATCCCACGTTCACCAATTGTGATAAAATAAATTGCTGATGAAGCACTTTTCTTCCCATGCTGCTGTTTGTACAAATCCAGACAAGAAGTGAAAGGAGATGCAGAAGGGATTACACACACAGCTTCGAGCACCTCATATGTTGGTACAGTGATCTTGCAGCCATAGTCACGAAGATCCCACACGTTTACAACCTGAAATAAGTCTACACATCATCCAGTAACTGACAACTAGATCATGAGAATAGGGCAAAGCAAACCAGTGAGTAATGCATAAACTGTTAACAACTATGATTAAATATGACAAGGCATAGATGTATAGTAAACAAGATCAACAAAAAAAATAAAATTCAAAAATGGAGAATTTCCAAAAGTATAATATGCAAAGTGGGCCAATAGTTAATATATGGTAACATCTTAACTTTGAATTGCTTGATTGGTGTGAAGAAAATGAGTATACGAACAACAAAACCAAAAAGTACTCAAGCATAAAATTTATCAACAAATAAATTTGACTAGAATTCAGAATACGTATAAGAATCTTGTCATTGGCACAGACAAAAAACATGTTACCAATATAAACAACATATTCATCAATTAAAGGTGGCAAAAAATGACCTACCAGTATGTGCTACTAAGTATTTTTACAATTTGCAGTTGTTATCACATTTACTAAGATCAACCTCAATGGTGTGCTACCCTCCATGCCAAAACCAAAATTTGACAACAACTCTCTTCCAAAATTATCTCCAATAGTATGCAACCTTCCAAATTAAGATATTTAACAGGAACATTGCCAAATTATGATATTTTGGCAATGTAGCATGCCAACATTTGGCTTTCGCATTGCCATTTCAATACCAACCATTGAAGATGCTCTAAGGATGCAGAAAATGAGTATACGAACAACAAAACCAGAAGTACTCAAGCATAAAATTTATCAACAAATAAATTTGACTAGAATTCAGAATACGTATAAGAATCTTGTCATTGGCACGGACAAAAAACATGTTACCAATATAAACAACATATTCATCAATTAAAGGTGGCAAAAAATGACCTACCAGTATGTGCTACTAAATATTTTTACAATTTGCAGTTGTTATCACATTTACTAAGATCAACCTCAATGGTGTGCTACCCTCCATGCCAAAACCAAAATTTGACAACAACTCTCTTCCAAAATTATCTCCAATAGTATGCAACCTTCCAAATTAAGATATTTAACAGGAACATTGCCAAATTATGATATTTTGGCAATGTAGCATGCCAACATTTGGCTTTCGCATTGCCATTTCAATACCAACCATTGAAGATGCTCTAAGGATGCAAAATAAATGGATGGTTTTGCTAGCCTATTATAAGTGTACTTGAAATAACAAGGACTGTAACTGCACAACAATTATAAAAAAAAGGCATATATCTTCTTACCTTTACTTCAACCCTTCTCCTTTGGTCTTTGAATCTAACATAATTCTACCATGCATGTGCAAATTTAATCTAACTAACCCATTCACTAAAAGCAACCTAAAGCGTCTAATTTATTTCCATGTTCTAGTTGACCTAGGAGACTGAATATGCCAAAACATAAACAAACAAATAAGCCAGAATCATTTAGAAAAAAACATAACTATAAACAAGATCAAAAGAAGATGGACCCTGCCTTATCTCTTCCAGCACTGAGCAAGGACCATCCATCTTCAGATACTGCCATGGAAGTTACTGCTGAGAAATGCTTGTCTAACGTTGCAATGCATTTCTTGGTTGCAAGATCCCAGACTCGAACAGTTGCATCATCACTTCCAGAAAAAAGCTACAAACACCATCTATAATGGTCAGCCACCAAAAGCTCTGGAAGGGATCAAGTACATTGGCAAGAGAATATTTGCACTTTGCATAAACAAAGGCACATAGAAAAGGGGCATTAAGTGACGTAAAATACACAATAATGGCAACAAGCAACATGTCTAAAATGGGCTTCCTCACAAAGCTCTACCAAACAAAAGCAACAGCTGTCCATATGATCATAGAAAAGTCCAGCAAGAATTGAATGACTACTCAATGGTGAAAATTAACAACAGTTTTTTTAAACCAACTAATAAAAATACCAACACCAGATTGTCCAGCTAATTGGTGCATCAGACATGTCACCTTGGCAAAACCCACTTTTTCTTTTTTTGAACAGTAGCAAAACCCACTTGTCCAACTAAATTTTACAGGCATCAGACATGTCACCTTGGCAAAACCCACTTTTTCTTTTTTTGAACAGTGGCAAAACCCACTGGTCCAACTAAATTTTACAGTATAAATGTTGCCTAGGGTCATGCTCAAAAATTTATAAGTGTACACAAAGATGCAGGTGTTAAATGTGAATCAGGTTAACCATATAACAATCTCCAAATACTAACAGCATGCATGGAAAGCAAAACCATGTGAATTGTTAAATCGAGTAATTATAACATAAGCAAAAAAGAGGGTTGTTCTCACATCCCTCTCTCACGTGCTGATCAAATCCAATCAAATTATTTGGGATCACTAGCTATCAATGGGACACTTCTACCAAGAGATAATAAACATGTTCATGGAGAAAAAGATCCCTTACTCCGCAATGATCATATAAACAATAAGAATTAAGTGCAGAGATCAACAAGAATACCCCTTAAAATGCTGCACCTACTTAAATAATATTAATATACGTCCATCATCTACTATGGCTTGCCTGGGGAGAAAAAAAAATCAGCAAGTAAGATCTTGCTAATTATTTGAGCTGCGTATTTGCAAACTACTGATCTGCCATCACATGAGGAGTTAGAAACTTAATCAGTTGACAACCCTTTTACCAATAAGCTGAACTGGTGGTCACCACAGCATTGCTCATCCGGTAGTGCAAAACTATGTTCTAAATATATCAATAGAAGTCTCACATCCCAACTCCAGTGACAATACTTGACCTCTTGTAGATACACACACCAAGTGCCATGAGCGTACTTTGGACTGAACACTTATTATTATGTTCAGAAATCGTTTCTTGCTTCTCAATTTAACTATTGGGCAGCCAAACTAGACCAACTAGTACTAGTAAAAGTTCTTCACTTATACTTTCTAAGAAGGAATTAAGGCAAACTAAGATCCAATTCAATTTAAGTGGTGAAGCATTCTTTTAAGTGGCACTGCATCACTTGCACAATACTATGTAAAAAATCTTGGACGTGAATAATTCCATTAAGATTCAATTAGTTTTCCTTCTTAAGGATGATCCACAGTCACGTTTTTATCCTGTTGTCCTCTACAATCTTGTTGATAGCTCAAAGGCAGGATATTTAGGGTTGGTTTGGCATAAACTAAATAATACAAAAAGTCAAAAAGTCACTATCCTATTTAAGTCACATCATCTTATTTAAATCACATCACCTCTCTAACACATCACATCAAACCCAACCCATATAAGCTAATAAGTCAAAAAATGAACTTTTTTAGAACATCCCAAACCAACCCTTAATTGGAAGAAAGAAGAAATGCAGATAGAAAACATGAAGAAAGAGCAGTCCTAGGAATGGAAGTAGGGATTGTCTCCAAGAGCATGTCCGCCCTCGGGAGCTTCTAAACTGTGCACCTATGAAGCACGGATACCTTGGAGAAGGCTACGTATCCGTGTCGGACACGGACATGCGTCGGACACGCGGTGGACATGTGTCCGACACGCAGTGAAAGGTGTCCCCTTTTTTTTTTGAATTTTTTTGTCACCGGACACGTTCTGGACACGCTTGGGGACACCTTTGGGACACGGCTGGGTAAAATTCATAATTTATGAAAATTCTATGGAGTCAATTTGTAAATAACAAAACCAGAACAAATTGTTGAACCCTAAATTCGAAAGAACAGAGAGAACAGAAGATAGAAAGAGAGAGAGAGAGAGAGAGAGAGAGGCTCGCCACACCTGGTAGCTCTTCGCATGTCGGTGGTCGCTCGTCTGTCGTCGGTGGTCTGTCGTCGCTGTTCTTGCAGTTATCCAAGGTACGACTTCCATCTTCTGCAATCTTCTTCTTCGGTCTTCCTCTTATTCTTCTTCGATCTTCTTCTTCTTCTCCGATCTTCTCTTCGTCTCTCTCAGTCGCTCTCTCTCTCTCTCTCTTACTCTCAGTCTCTCTCAGTCGCTCTCTCAGACACTCTCTCTTTGTCTCTCTCAGTTACTCTCAGTCTCTCTCTTATCTTGTTTTGGTTTTTTATTTTATACGGTTGATTTGTCTCTCTCTCTCTCACTTTTATTTTTTTTTCCAATTTTATTTTATTCTTTCTTTTCTGTCTTTTATATGGTTGATTTCATTATTTTATTTATTTATTTATTTATTTATTTATTTATTTATTTATTTCTGATTACTAATCAATGATTAATTTTGTTAATTTTAATGATATGTTTTTATTAATTTTACCTTTTAATAATTTTTTTAATAATTTTATGACATATATAAATAAAATTCTCAGAGGCAGGATATTTAGGGTTGGTTTGGCATAAACTAAATAATACAAAAAGTCACTATCCTATTTAAGTCACATCATCTTATTTAAATCACATCACCTCTCTAACACATCACATCAAACCCAACCCATATAAGCTAATAAGTCAAAAAATGCACTTTTTTAGAACATCCCAAACCAACCCTTAATTGGAAGAAAGAAGAAATGCAGATAGAAAACATTAAGAAAGAGCAGTCCTAGGAATGGAAGTAGGGATTGTCTCCAAGAGCATGTCCGCCCTCAGGAGCTTCTAAACTGTGCACACACCTACATATGCACATTTGTCCTGCAGGCTCAACTCTATTATAGATAGAATGCTAGGGATTGCTAAAAAAAAATTTGCGAACTTAACTCCTATCAAATACATAATGCTGACAAGAAGGGACAAAAAAAAGGGTCCTTTCTCATTCCACTTTACCTTAGAGCTCCTCCTATTTGAACCAAATTACATGCAACCACAAAAGTCATTTGTTGCAGTTGTACATGACCAACCCAACATCTTATTTCTTAACCAACTTTAAGTTTGTCTTTTGTGAAGGCACTTATTTTAATTTTCTGATCATTAGTTTTTAACTGGATGTTTCATAAATTCTTAACCATATGATACTTTTTCCGACATAATCACCATAATTACAACACATTGAGGGACCCAAAAACAAATCAAAGAACTGCTACATGGATATGCCAATATGTAATACAGAAAACAGAGAAACATAATTCAAGATTGCCATATACCGTCTAAAACAATATAACAACTGACAAGTGCTTCTAAATACAAAACTCACTATCAGTCGATTCGGGTCAGGATGAAACATGATACTAGTCACAACACCTTTATGGCCTTTAAAGAAATGTGTACAGAATCCGCCATCAATGTCCCACACAAGTACTTTCCTATCAGCTCCCGCCGTCGCTAGCAATCCACCCGAGGCGTCACAAGCCATGCCCATCACGGGTCCTTCGTGTCCCTACATGGTGCCATTTATCAAACTTTCATACTCGAAACATTTTATCAATTTTTAAAAAAAAACAAACAAACAAACAAACAAAGTTGATTGAGAGTACCTTCCAAGAACGCAAACATTTGAGGGAGGAGAGGTCCCAAACCCTAATTTGGCGACTGTGGCTGGCAGAGAAGAGAAAAGTGTTGTCGGGGCTAAGAGCGAGGGCAGTGATAGGCTCTGAATCGCCTTCGATGGTGGATTTAATGGATGAGTTTGAAGAATCGACAATCTTGATGGTGTCGTTGCAAGCGCATATGAGGAAAGATCCATCGGATGAGACGGCAAAGGGTCCCCCGGAATAGAATTGTTGCAGAGATTGAACACAGCGGTAGTTCTTCTTCAAGCTCACAGACGCCATATCTCCCTCTCTCTCTCTCTCTCTCTCTAAATTCGAAGCTAAAACAGTGGAGCTGGTTACACCAGAGAGAGCTTCTGTGTCTGCGTTCAAAGAACAACGTAGGGTGATAGTAGTAGTAGTATTGGTGCTACGAGGAAGAAAACAGGGGACAAGTTAGGGTTTAGGGTTTTGACAAAATTGGTAATTCTCTCACCTCTACAAAAACTTGCAAAATAAAAACTATTTATGAAAATATGGGACATCCAAAATTATTTAGCAAAATACATTATTGGCTATGTTTTGATTATTTTTAGAATTACTTATTTTAAAAAAAATTTAAAATAAATAATAATTTAATGTAAGTGATGAAAAAAAAAAATTTAAAAAAATTACTATTATCTTTACATGATTTTATTTTTTTAGGTGAATTTTTTTTTTTAAATTAAAAATGGGGCATTTACAAACAATTCTTAATTTATGAACTTATACTCTATTGTCCTAATTAAGATTTTTTGGATCTTAAAATTCTATTAAAATTTTAATAGTATGAATTGCCTTTCAAACAATGATTGTTCATAGTTTATGATTATCTATAAGGGAACGTGATGATTTTGACATTTATTTTGATTTTTAAAACTTTAAAATATCAATTTTCAAATTGAAAAAACTAAAAAAAAATTAACATTTTTTTAAAAAATTGAATTTTTTTTGAGCAAAACTGAAAATTTTGTGTCTATAAAGGAGTATGGAACATGGACGTGCAAAACTAGAAAAAAAAAATGAAAAAACTGATAATGTTCTCCATTTTAAAACTGAAAAAAAAATTGATAATATTCTCGATTTTATTAGATAGTTGAATCAAACCAATAAATAGAAAGGCAAAAATGTTAATCTCATACTCTCTTTTTTTCATCAGTTGATGAAACAATTATTTATAACATTACTATGCAAAATTAATAATGTTCTTAGTTTTTAAAATTGAGAAAAACTTGTGTTTGGTTTGAGTTTTTTGAGTTAAGTTTTTTGAAAACTGAATTTTTTGGTTTTTGTGTTTTTTTTGTTTTTAGTGAAGATTTTTAAAATTTTAAACAATTTTTTTACTTTTTTAAATGCACCTCACTTAGATGTATCTAAAAAGTAAAAAAATTTTGAAAAAATATTTTTAAAAATTAATAAATACATAAAAATACAAAAAATGTACTGAATTCTCGTATTTTTTTGTATTTTGGTATTTAGTGAATATTTAAAAGGTTTTTTTCAATTTTTTTTACTTTTTAGGTATATTTATGTTAGATATGTCTAAAAATTAAAAAAATTGTTCAAAATATTAAAAAAATTCAGTAAAAACAAAAAAATACGGAAAATAAGAAAGTAGAATTTTCTGAAAAGTGTTTTTGAAAACTGGTAACCAAGCATAGTGATTCACTATTCTCAATTTTACTAAATAGGACTTATTGGTTCAAAAAATCTTAAATAAAACCTAAGTTATCATAACATTTGTAAATAAAACTTTAAGGTAATTAACTCATTATATATTTTTAGAAGTTGTGATTTTATTGTAATGTGCCATGAAGGATGTAGCATAACTAGGAGTTTTCTTTTTTTTTTAAATATTCTATAAAAAAAAACAATTTAGAGAATTAACCCACTATTCAAACTATTTGAAAAACTAACCTGATTTTTGAAATCGCAATTTGAAAATACAATTTTAAATTGAAATCGCATTTTTAACATGCAATTTTGACTTGAAATCGAATGTTGAAAACACAATTTTATGATAACATGGACTGCTATCGTAGCAAATTGAAATTGCATTTTCAACATGCGATTTCAAATAAAATTGCATCTTCAACATGTGATTATACCTGTCATGCAATTTCAATTGTTAGCTACCTATGACTTGTGTTTGCAATTGTTAGTTACAACATAGCTACTTCAAGTTACTATAAATATATACTAGCATGTGAAAACTAACTCAGTTGTATCCACATATTGTTATAAGATTATGTATAATAATTCATTATAAGATACACTGTCAGTGACTTATATATTGCAATGGGTCGTAATTGGGTTTTAAATGATGATTTTGAATATCCATTGAACTCTAATCTTCTTTACACAATGGCCACCATGAATACCATGAGAACAGAGTGGCAATATTTGTCTACCCAAGCGAATATTCTTTGAGAGCTGTGTGAAGAAAAGAATATTCGAATTTCTAGAAGGAGGTCCAAGAACGTGTCCATCGATACCCCCCAATTGCTGCAAACGGCATTACACCACTGTCACGACCCAAACCCAACCCTATGGGTTTAGCACCGTAACCGGCCAGTAATCTGAGATTACCGAAGGCCTACTTAACAGTAAAACAGTAATACAGAGTACAGGGGCTGGCGGAAGCCAAAACAGTAGTTAAAAGATGTCTAATGAGTTGTGACAGTCTGTATGCAAAAAGACTTTTCATATATATTCACATTCAGAAACAAAACAGTATATACATACATACATACATCATTTACAGGCGTTCAGGTTAGGGACCAAATCCCTACCATAACAGTACAGTACGGGTACACATGTCAGTCTATACAGTGTTACAAAACCAGATACAAAAAGGGGAAAAACTAAAACACCCCAAAAAGCCCTAGCTTGAAGGACTTGGAATCTCGCAGTGAGGCACAGTGGTTGGCTTTGACAAAACAGGAGCTTAGCCCGACGCTCCTAGCAACGGTGTGGTGCCTGTACACCTACATATATATATATATAAGCAGTGAGCTAAAGCCCAGTGAATGACATATGCGTAAAGAGATTAAGAATGAATGTCCTTTCAGTATTGAAAACAGTCATTTATCAGTATAACAGTCATTCAGTTGTGGCTCATAATTCATGCCATAACAGTCATTCATAAACTATAATAGTCACATGTGGTACATCCAATAGCAAAACAGTACAGCAGGTCTTAACAGACCGAGCAGTCAATGATGGCCATCAGTAATGGTTCCAAACATAGGAACCGACAGAGATCTCTGTAACAGTAGCAGTAACAGTTCAGTAACAGTAAATTGCTATGGATGCCACGAATACAGTACACAAATAGGACAAACATTCATTCAGCAAACAGTGTCATTTCATAAAGCAGTACAGTCATTGTTCAGAAAATAATCTCAATTAAACATATCTGTATAACATTGTTACTCACAGAGTTCTGGGCTACAAATAAGCTAGTACGCGTCATCGGATGCCAACGTTACACAATTACAGAGTGAACACACACTAAGCTACACAGTTGGGAAATAATAACTTAATCCCTACCTTGACTCGGTGTGGTTCTACATCAATATCCTCATTAAGATGCCTTAAACTAGGCCTAAGAATGCCTATGATGGAATGAGAATGCAAAGATGCACTTTAAAATACTTTTCAGAATTTTTAGAAAATAAGGGTCCCGCTCGAGCGGACATGCAGACAAAGGTTCCCCGTTTGAGCGTCACTTTCCCCGCTTGAGCGTCACTTTCCCCACTCGAGCAGACTGTAAAACATGGCAAAAGTACTGGATGCACGAAATTCACGCTCGATGGGCGCTTGATACCCGCTCGAGCGTGAGACACAAGTCCTCGCTCGAGCGTGCATTCCCCCGCTCGAGCGGACTGTAAAAACATGCAAAGTACTGGATACACGCATTTCACGCTCGAGCGTCACTTTCCCCGCTCGAGCGGACTGCATGAATTCAGTAGGTACGCTCAAGCGTGGAATCCTCCACTCGAGCGTGAGTCCAAAATCTGGAAATTCCAGATTTGAACCTCGAGCTCAAAACTCAATTTTAATGCACCAAAATCGATCCTCTTGGGCTAATTTTCTGGAAAACACTTCAAAACCCATAATATTACATGTTTCAAAGGTCAATTTGAGAAATCAAAGCCCAAAGGTAGTTCAATTAAACACAAATTCAACAATAATTCAAGAACATGATGAACATGCAATATGCATGAATTTAACCAACTTCAAAGCTTCCAATTCATGCTCCTAAGAGCTAATTCTTTCAAAAATAATATGAAATCATGGGCTATGGTCAAAAGATAGACATGCATGAAGCAATTCCCATGAAAACAATTCTAAATTTCAAGATATGCACATGCATGCATGAATCAAGCTCCAATTCAACAATTTAATCCAATTCTTGACTCAACTCACTAAATTACCATGTACCATGCAAGAATCTACTAAATTTCATGATCAAGAAGGGAAATTCTCTACCTTATGTCTTAAGTTCAAGATGTAGAAATATGCAATTCTCCTTCAAATTCTCCAAGCAATCTTTGATGAATTCTATTTTCCCCCAATTCCCTCTCTCTCTAGTCGGTTTTGCTCTAGGAAATGAGTTGAAGAAATGTTGTATCAACATATATGAAGTGGAGAAGAGTTGCCTAGATAAATCCACTAGATGGCAATTTGGTGATTAAGGCCAACTCTTGTAATTTAACATTATTAAATCTAATTTAATCATATCCAATCAAATTTCAATTAAATATAGCATAAAATCACATAAATTCCAATTAGTATAAAACATCCATCAATTTCAGATTTGGCCGCCGATAAGACCTTCAATTTGCAGTTTAAACATATTACATGAACAGATAATTTAGCAGACAAACATATAGACATGCATTTAAAATAATACACTCAATCAATTAACTCAAAATTTCAATCAATTCAATTACTTATCATGATCAGGCTCAGTTTAGCTGTAATCAGTGGTGTTATCAATAAACAGTGGCAAGGGTTGTCACAACCGCATTCGTGAAGAAGTTAGCTGAATGTCGATGCGTTTAAATAGATATCATTTCATCAACTAGCAACTGCTCACGCCAATGATGGGTTAATGCATGAAGCAAAATTATACCTGAATGCAAGTAGGAAGGAACAAGTATTATCCAATGTTGAGATATCAAATAAAGAATAGAAATAATAAAATTTCTTCGTAATAATTCTTTAGTCAAGTTATAATATTTAGAATATAATACTATTCTATCTTTATGTTATGAAATCTTTTCATATTATTTTATGAGTTTCAATATATGTCTACATAATGTTCATATAACTTAACGCCATAGTATTTGATTGATATTGACTTCATATATTTAATAAAACTTTTCATTAAATAAATAACTTAAAGTACTAAATACTTAATATAAGGATTAAACGCAGAATATAGCACTAAAAAAAAAAAAA